GCTTTTTCTTTTAGCTGGTATTTGGGAAGAGCGAGGTACAGTAGAGCGTGAAGTTACATCTGCTGATGTTTCATATTCATGAATATCATCATCATTGGATTCTTCCGGGCTAGAATTTTCACTTGCAATAATACCCTCATAAAATGAGTAACTATCTAGAGTGGTTTGTATTTTTGATGATGATTGCATTGGTTCTACTGTCTGAGAGCTTTCGTGATCAGAAAGCTCTACGAGATCTGATGAGTTTGACATTTTGATACGAGAAAGATCAATTTAGTTTTCTTATATAAGAGAGATATTTAATGATTATGCTTAAAGGTAAGTATAGAGAGATTTATATCCGCAATATTTATTGGATTTTAGATTGTTATGAAAGAGCGAATGAGGTAAAAGATCAAGTTTTACAATGTTGTTTATTTTTATTAAACATGTTGCGGTTGTGCTTATTCGAATTATGTACTTGAAACATTATATATATGATTATAAAAAAAAGCTTTCTATTTTTTTAAAACAAGTATCCAAATATATAATGAAAAGCTGACACGTCTAGATCATGAGCATTATTTGGTTTTACATTAATAAAGTATTTTATTCATCCAATTCTAATTGCATAACTCGTTAAACTAAGTTGGGTATAAAGTAATCATTTTTTTTACTACTAATAATGGCTGGCCAACAAAATGCCGAATATAAATATGCAATTTTACCTCTTATTCACTGCGATTTACATAGCGGCAATATATTGCAAAATGATTTATAGATCGGTTAACAAATTATTAGATACAGAATCTAGAGAACCTTGCTATACGTTGCTCCCAAAGTTTTACAAGGAAATTACCGCTTTAGCTTATGATCAGTATATGTTTATAAAATCAATTTCTCGAAACCTCTAAAAGGTTAAACAATTAAAATTGTACTGATACAAATACATGTTTAATTTTTAATTAACGATTCTCAAACAAGTCTTACGTATTCAATAATGATTCAATAGTTTATTTCTAATTAAGGTTAAACACTAAAGATTTTGGTTATTATGTAAGAAGCGTCACGATATTCAAGTGAGTTAGCCCAAACGGGTCGTTAGTC